AGAAGAGACGTCCGTCCGCGCGGGGGGGGGGGGGGGAAGTGCGGGGAAAACTAGTTTTATTAGGAATGGGGGGGGGGAAGATATGAGAGAGTGCTGGGATGTGTATGGGAAACAAAACATGGTAACATCAGGTAATGCAAGTGGATTTTTAAGGCAATGTGAAAGACGCCCTTGTTAGATAGCTAGGTATCTAGAGCCCCCAAGATACTGAGAAAATGCAGCCTGTGGTGCTTATTATCCTTTTGGTCATCTCTCCCTGTTCTGTGCCCGGGCAGAATGGCTGTCTGTGACTGGTGGACCGGGGTCCCTTCTTAAGAGGCGACCCCCAGAGGGAATTCACCAGATCTAATTTAGATTGCGGCAGCAGCCTTCAAGCACAGCTTCAATCTGGGCAACACTGAGGGGAAAGATTAATCCCTGCCCCCAAGTGAGCTTTAGCTGAGTGAAAGGGGGAAGAAAGGAAAAGGACAAATGATTGTTTCTCCCCTGCTGTGGCTAGTAGCACCTTCTCATGATAATCAATCGACCTTTATTGGCATCAGGGCTATTCTTGGGCAGGAACGCACAGGAACGGAGTTCCGGCTGGCTCCCGAGTTGGCCACGCCCAGCAGGAGCTCATTAGCATAACAGGCCACACCCAACAGCAGAAACTCATTAGAACTGGCCCTGGGTTTTGACAACAAACAAGGTAAACAGAATAAGAAGCAAAAGGTGGGTGTGGCTGGATGACCACACTTCTGGTAACATGGGGGTGTGGCCTAATATGCCAATGAGCTGTACTATCAGGGGTGTGGCCTAATATGCTAATGGGTTTCTGCTGTTGGGTATGGCTTATTATGCTAATGAGTTCCTGCTGGGCTTTTTCTACAAAAAAAAGCCCTGATTGGCATAACATACAGACCATAAGACTCGATTTGCAAGGAATACGGAACGCTTTCTTGAAGCTTCATACGGAAATTTTGCAACACTTTCAATTATTGTGTGATTCTGGGTTGTCAGCAAAAAGTAAATCTTACATTTATAAGGGTTTCCTGAATACTTTCTCAATTCTCATGATAACAGCTCTGTTTCTAACAGTGAAATGGTGTGTGTGTGTGTGGGGGGTCCTTAACCGCACGATCCTCCCCCCAGCACTATGGGCCTGATTCACCTCTTTCCCCACAATCTCTTCACGGGAGAGCATTTTTATAAAGGTCATAATAATGAAATTGTTCAAGGAAGTGGTTTTATACAAGGAATGGGACAGTGGACTACATTAGTAAAGTAAAGGTAAAGGTTCCCTTGCTCGAAAGCCAGTCGAGTCCGACTCTAGGGTTGCGGTGCTCATCTCCGTTTCAAAGCCGAAGAGCCAGCGCTGTCTGAAGACGTTTCCGTGGTCATGTGGCTGGCATGACTAAACACCAAGGCGCACGGAACGCTGTTCCCTTCCCACTGAAGTGGTCCCTGTTTATCTACTTGCAATTTCTTGCTTTCGAACTGCTAGGTTGGCAAGAGCTGGAACTAGAGACGGGAGCTCACTCCGTCATGCGGCAGCTCAGGTCTCGAACTGCTGAACTACTGACCTTCCACAGCCTGCAGTTCAGCCTCTTAACCACTTGAGCCACAGCAGGACTACATTACTGTGTACCATATGTACTTTCTGTTTGCAGTATGGATTATCTTGCTCCCCACTGCATTTTTTTCTATTTATGTAATACTTTTTTTTGCATTGTCTAACATATCAGATTTAATACTTTATGCTTTGTTTCCGACTTCTGAAATTCTAGCCTTATTAGATGCCTCGTCTGATTGATTGCATGAATTTACACTGTGTAATCCACCTTGAGTCTCAATAAGAAAGGAAGTCTATAAAGTAAAGAGAACAAAATAAATATTTTGTGCAATAACTATGAACAGATATCCCTGATCTGGATAGCCCAATTTCATCAGATCTCAGAAGCTAAGCAGGGCTGGCCCTGGTTAGCAGGGGTCATTTCCTGAAGGAGCGCACAGGAGCGGAGCTCCGGCAGTAAAGAGCCCAGGGGGCGGGCACATGCAACAAGCCTCGCTCCCAGCAGCCCTCAGTCAGAGCAAGAAGCAGCCAGGTAAGTTGCAGAGCCCCCCCTGCCCCCCAGGTCCAAAACAGTCCAGTGGCACCTTTAAGACCAAGTTTTATTCAGGTACAAGCTCTCCCTCCTCTGCGAGGACAGATCTGCACGCTCCCCCCCCAACAGCTAGCAATCCAAAACAGTCCAGTGGAGCCTGAGCGGCGGGGGTTGCCTTCTGACACACTTCCAGTGATGTTAGGGGGTGTGGTATATGCAAATAAGTTATGCTAATGAGTTATGCTAATGAGCTCCTGCACCTCTCTTTTTACGAAATGACCCCTGCTGGTTAGTATTTGGATGGAAGACCTCCAAGGAATACCAGGGTCGTGATGCAGAGACAGGCAATGGCGAACAACCTCTGAACGTCTCTTGCCTTGAAAACCCTACAGGGTCACTATAAATCAGCTGTGACTTGATGGCATTTCCCATCACCACATGAACAGATATGCAGAGCACAACCTGTAGATGGCACTCTCGCACACAAAAGGTTTCCGTGTGTGTCCCCCCACCTTTAAAAAAAGCTGTTGGGCCTTGAGAGAGTTCTTCAATGGCCAAGAGCTGTTCATCGGGGTTATGAAAGGTCTTGTCAAGCACATGGAGAATGCTCCAACAGATGAACTGGCCATATGCCAATCAGGATATTAAGTCCTCAAGTGCAAATCCAGCATGCTCCGGGTAGACAAGAGGGTTCGGAAAAGACGCAGACTGTGGTTGCTGATTGCAGGCATTGCACCACACGGACTGGCCTGCAACCAAGACCAGTTTCTCCCTGGATGCCTGCAGCCACATGCGAGTGTCACCATGCAAAGACAGAACATGCGGCAATCTAACAGAATGCAGGTGGAATAAAGGGAGGAGCATTTATCGGGGGAAAGAGACAGGAAGTGTCAAGGAGGAAAATTCAGCTGGGGACAGCAGGAGAAAGACCCAAAAGCAGACAGCTACATTTCCAGAAGAAGAAGCAGAAGGAGGAGGAGACTGGATTTATACCCCGCCCGTCACTACCCGAAGGAGTCTCAGAGCGGCTTACAACCACCTTTCCCTTTCCCTCCCCACAACAGACACCCTGCAAGGTAGGTGGGGCTGAGAGAGCTCTGACTGAGAACTGCCCTTGAGAGAACAGCTCCGAGAGAACTTGTGACTGACCCAAGGTCACACCAGCAGCTGCATGAGGAGGAGGAGGAGGAGTGGGGAATCAAACCCAGTTCTCCCAGATTAGAGTCCGCGCTCCTATCCACTACACCAAAAGCACACAAGGTAGGACTAAGACTGAAAGAAGAAGCAGAAGAAGCAGAAGAAGAGATTGGATTTATACCCCGCCCTTCACTTGGAGTCTCAGAGGGGCTTACAAACTCTTTTCCCTTCCCCTCCCCACAACAGACACCCTGTGAGGTGGGTGGGGCTGAGAGAGCTCTGACAGAAACTGCTCTTGTTCAAGGACAGCTCTTATCAGAACTACGGCTTGCCCAAGGTCACATCAGCAGGTGCAAGTGGAGGAGTGGGGAATCAAACCCGATTCTCCCAGATTAGAGTCCGCACACTTAACCACTACACCAAACTGGCTCTTTGGGGCGACAGATTAAGACGCAACTAGCAATGGAAACTAGGTCTGTCCAAATGTTGCAGCGAGTGCACACAGACCCTGCCTGTACAAACAGATGGGTAGCCGAGCTGGCCTGCAGGAGGAGAGCAAGATCCAAGACCAGAGGCACCTCAGAGACCCACCAGATTTCCAGGGTGCTGAACTGAGCTTTGCCTCTTGAAAGCTTATAACCTGGAAATTCAGTCGGTCTTTACGATGCTGGGTGGACTCGATTCTTGCTCTTCTGCTTGTGCCTGTCTACATTGCTTGAAAGAAACGGTCAACATGTGCTCACTTGACCAATTAAATCAAGGACAGTACCTGGGTAAATGTGGGGTCTGAATGGGCTCTTTTTGTAGCAGGAACTCCTTTGCATATTAGGTGACACACCCCTAATGTAGCCAATCCTCCAAGAGCTTACAGAGCTCTTCTTACAGGAGCTACTGTAAGCTCTTGGAGGATTGGCTACATTAGGGGTGCGTTGCTTAATATGCAAATGAGTACCTGCTACAAAGAGAGCCCCGAACAAGTGAGCTGTACGTGAGTTGAACAGAGCATGAGAGTTACCCAATGCGCGTATAAAGAGAAATCAAGTACACCTTACAGTGAACAAATGTGCAATCCACGTAATTTGGGAACAGGGCTGCTGATGTAATGACCAGGTACATGTGTTTATTGCGGTGGCTCAAGTGGTTAAAGACGCTGAACTGCAGGCTGTGGAAGGTCAGTAGTTCAGCAGTTCGAGACCCGAGTGTCCCGCATGACGGAGTGAGCTCCCGTCTCTAGTTCCAGCTCCTGCCAACCTAGCAGTTCGAAAGCAAGAAATTGCAAGTAGATAAATAGGGACCCCTTTGGTGGGAAGGTAACAGCGTTCCGTGGGCCTTGGTCACGCCGGCCACATGACCACGGAAACGTCTTCGGACAGCGCTGGCTCTTCGGCTTTGAAACGGAGATGAGCACCGCAACCCTAGAGTCGGATTCGACTGGCTTTCGAGCAAGGGAAACCTTTACCTTTATACTTAGTAACTGACTGGCTGTGTCATCTCTTCAAATCAGTACATCCAAAAACATTGTTCAATAATTTTGACTAAGATGGAGTCTCTTCATTTACACAAGTCGGCACCAGTGTTCCCTCTAAGCTGAGTTAGTGTGAGCTAGCTCACAGTTTTTTAGCCTCCAGCTCACATGCACAATTCATATCAATGTTGTGTTTACAGCATTTGCTAAGAAGGACACACACAGGGTTACGCCTTAAGAAGTCAGTTTACCTACCTCTGTTGATCCAGTAAAAGCTATTTTGTCAACATTGGGATGGTTGGATATGGCAGCCCCTGCCGTTGGGCCATACCCTGGGACAATGTTCACAACACCTGGAGGGAAACCTGCCTGAAAAGACATACGAATGCTTTATTCTAGCATTGGAATAATAATAATAATAAGAGATTGGATTTATACCCCGCTCTTCACTACCTGAAGGCGTCTCAGAGCGGCTTGTAATCCCTTCCCCTTCCCCTCCCCACAAGAAGAAATGCACACACCATAGGATGACATCACCTGGGAGTGGCATCATCACACTGGGCATGTTGTGCGGCGATGCTCTAGCATTTTGGCCAAAACTCTATGGTTACCATAGAGTTTGGACCAAAACGCTAGAGGGTCGCCACACAATGTGCCTGGCAGGAGGACACACCTCTGGGTGACATCATCACGCCGATGACATTGACACAGGAGGGGGCTGTTTGGGGGTGGGGCTTCCCCTGCTGGCCAGTGGCAGATTGTAGCACCCGAAATCAGGGGAACCCTCACCCTGACCAGGGGTCTGGCAACCCTGGGTAGCAGGTGAAGCAAAAGACCTTGAGAACGAATTATCTTTCTTACTCAGTAACTTGGTCTTCAGCCTATGGACCCTATATTGTGAATAAAGATTAATATATTGTGAATAAAGAATAAAGATTCACTCTGACCTGCTTCTAGTCAGAGTAGTTAATATTGAGCTGGATAGACCAATGGTCAGGTTCAGAGAAGACAGCTTTATTTAAGAAGACTGCTTAGCACAGCAGTAGAATACCTGCTTAAGGTCCCAGGTTCAATCTCCATCATCTGCAGTTAAAAGGTTCAGGTAGGAGGGTGATGTGAATGACTCTACCTGAGACCTTGGAGAACGTCTGCCAACCAGAGCAGACAATATTGGGAAACAAGTTATCTGACTTCAGGATAAGGCATGAGTTCAACCTACCTCCTTGACTAAAGACCCAATGTACAGGGACGTGAGGGGTGTCTGCTCAGCAGGTTTAACCACCAGCGTGTTTCCACAGCACAGAGCTGGTGCCATCTTCCAGATCAACATGAGCAATGGGAAGTTCCACTAGAAGAGAAGAGCATTGTGGTGTAGTGATATCATTTACCATTCAACAATCTCTTGCACTCCAACTGCCCCTCATTTACTGGGGACAGCCCTGCGTTTAGGATGTTCAAGACTTCCAAAAACTGTGCTGCTTGCTTCCCTCAGTGGAATAGATGGAGGCCGTCTTTTTTTTTTGGTGTAATACTTTATTCTGTCCCTAGGTGCCACTGTAGCAATGCTTGTCTTCACAACTACTGAGACAGCAAACAGAACTATACAGCAAGACAGCCAACCACAAAGGTGTCTCCTGGGGGGAAAAGCCCAGTCACAGAACCGACATTTATGAAACCAACATCCAAGGCAGAGAAGGAAGACTACAATGAACTAGCGACTTTGACTTTCAGGTAAGACTTGAAGCAAAAAGGGTTATTTAGAGGCATTTTCAACTGCATCTCCAGATGCAAGGACCAGGTGGTAGGTGATGTGAAAGACCTCTACCCCGGAGAGCTACTGCTAGTCAGAGTAGACAAGACTAACTTTGAGGGACCAGGGGTCTGATTCTGCATAAGGCAGTTTCATGTATGTATTCAGTTTTAACATGAACACACTGGCTGAGGCCTTGGGAGTTAGGGTTGCTGCAACCAGCAGGAGGGGTGTGGAGGGGGATACGGGAGGGCCACAATGCCGGCTGCAGCACCAATTCGAGCCAATATTCGAGCAAAAAATGAGAAGGCAGCTCCAGGAGTCCCTGGAAATTCTAGGAATCACTGGAAGCCAAAGAGTTTCCAGTGATTCCTAGAGCTACTTTATGTCACTTCCTGTTTTCACCGGAAGTGACATGACTTCACACACAACACTAGGATTTTTTAGAAACTTTTCTCTTACTGCCACTCATAGCAGCAACAGGTAGTTTGACTGACGGATCCCCCACCACCGGGGGAATGGGACCCCTACTTGGAATCCAGGGATTCTGTGTCTAGGTCCAGTCTGGCCATGCTGGGTATCAGCCAGGGCTCTTTTTGTAGAAAAAGCCCAGCAGGAACTCCTTAGCATATTAGGCCACACCCCTGACAGCACAGCTCATTAGCACATTAGGCCGCACCCCCATGTTACCAGAAGTGTGGTTATCCAGCCATACCCACCTTTTGCTTGTTATTCTGTTTACCTTGTTTGTTGTCAAAACCCAGGGCTTTTTAATAGCAGGAACTCCTTTGCATGCTAGGCCACACACCCCTAATGTATCCAATCCTAATGAGTTTCTGCTGTTGGGTGTGGCCTATTACGCTAATGAGTTCCTGCTGGGCGTGGCCAACTTGGGAGCCAGCCGGAACTCCGTTCCTGTGCGTTCCTGCCCAAAAATAGCCATGGGTATCACCCAAGCCTCCTGCTCCTCCCTCACGGTGGTCCTTAGCTCCTCCTGTGGGAAGCCTGTTCCTGAATCTGTCCCAGGAGGGAGGTCAAAACAATAGGATCGTCCAGTTACTTAAAGGTTGAATCTGCATTGGTATCTTCCGCTGGTTTGGGGACACTCCCGCCCTGTCTCCAAGAAAGATGTCTACCCTTCTTTCAGATTCGCTCTCCTACTGCATCGTTATAGTTTCTGCTGCCTGTCCTGAAAGTTATTTAAAGGGTCTCCAGAAGGACTGGGAGCAGCCCACTCTGACCAGCAAGACAGTGCAGGCCTCCGTGAATTGGTTTCTCCCCGCATGTCCCATTTATCATGCAGAACAAAAGGGAAACAAAAGAACAAGTTTGCTTTCAAATATGCTCCCCACCCAAATCAAGTGTTGGATTGCTATTTTCTTAGGGACATCAGATGTCGGACTTTGTCTACTCTAACACAATGTTGGCCGCAACCCAGGCACAGTAAGGAAATACCCTGAGTGGTATTTTATTCCAACAGCTGTGTAAACATTCTCAGCCTAGTTACAATCATCTTTTGCCAACGAAAATACCTGCTGTCGATTAAGCGGAGTTAATTGCTAGCGGTGATCTTCCCTCGCAGCCGAATCAGAGTGGACCCCACGATACACGGGATTAACTGTGATATTAAGTACACAGCAGGAGAGAGAGCTCCAACCATACTGAAGTCCCCGCAGCACAGTTAGGGGTAGGGGTCCCATTCCCCGGTAAAGGGGGGGGGGAATCCCCTGCTCCCTGTTCCTGCTGCCTGCTGCCACTCCTAGTGGCAGCAGGAGAATTTTTTAAAAAACAGAAGAGCCAGCATCACTTTTGGTAAAATAACCATAGAGTTTGCCAGGGCTTTTTTTAAAAAAAGAGGTGCCAGAACTCTCAAGAGGGAAATGAAGTTTTCAATACTGAAAACCCATCATGAACTTTTAAACATTTTTTCAAAGAATCTTGTCAAAGAGGTTCCGGAACTCCACTTTGGTGTCTTCCCCTAGATAAAAAAAAGCCCTGGAGTTTTCAGCAATTCCTAGAGCTACCTATGTCACTACTACTACTACTACTACTACTACTACTTCTTCTTTTCTTCTTCTTCTCTTCTTCTTTTCTTCTTCTTCTTCTTTTCTTCTTTTCTTCTTCTTCTTCTTCTCTTCTCCTTCTCTTCTTCTTCTTCTCCTTCTTCTTCTCCTTCTTCTTCTTCTTCTCTGGAAGTGATGTGGCACTGTAGCTGGTGTCATGCCTCCCCATTCCTGCCCACAACACTCCCGCCAGTTGCCAGTTAGAGAGGAGGTGCCCAGTGCAGAAAGAATGGCTGACCGGCTCCTTGCCCCAGGCTCTTCGGAGTGATCCCTGTGCTTCTCAGTGGGTCAGCGAATTCTGTTCAGAAAGCCGGGGGAAGTAGCCTTAAACCCCGCACTTGCAAATACGTTGCATACTTGTGTTGTTTTTGCCCACCCGTTCTCAAACCAAGGGTTGCCAGGCCACTCAAGTGCTTTACTGTTACAATACCAACCCCATCTGCTCTACACGGTTTTTCGGTCCCTGCCACACGGCAGCGAAAAAAGCGGGCAAAGTGTGGCTTTTGAAAGCCGCACCGAAATAGAGACGCCACGGCAGGATCCCACAGATCCCCTGAGCCGCGGCGCCGTTGCTCCCTGGCACGATCAGATGCCGGGGAGGAAGCGACGGTCGGGAGGGGGAGGCTGCCGAACTGCGCATGTCTGAGCATGCGCAGTTCAGCCAGAAGCTGGGGATGCACCGGCGGAAAGACGTGCCGGCGATCCCACGGCCGGCCTTGATGCACTGTTTTCCAAAGAACCACCTAGGTAGGTGGTGTAGTTTTGATGCAGGGTTTTGGGTGGAAGGGACGGATCGACAACGGGCGCGGCACACTTCCCAGATGTTGCTGTGGGATCGCGCCTGTTTGCTGCGCCCCCGATCCGTCCCTCTCTCGGCCCAAAACCTCTCGTGTGACCGGGGCCTCAGTTATTTTTTTGTACTCTGCATTGGCTTCAGAAACCAGATGGATAAATCAACAGGCCCTATCTTTCTAAAACTAAAGAATAAAAATGGAATGTTGACTCTTACATCAGACCTGGTTTTATTTAGAACAGAATTGTTGTGGCTCATAAGAATGTCAGGAGAGCCCTGCTGGTCAGGCTGGTGGTCCGTCCAGTTCAGGATACTCTTTCATACAGCCAGTGGCCCTCAAGAGTCAACCAACAGGGCATATGGGCCAAGGCCTTCTCCTGGTAACAGTGGGTTTCGGAGGTTTACTGCCTTTGAGTATGGAGGTTCTCTTTATTCAACTTGGCTAGTAGCCAATGATGGGCCTCTCCTCCATTAATATAAGAACAACTGAAGGCAGGAAGTGATTAGCGGTTACAGGGTAGTGGGAGGGAAGCAGTGTGCTGGCACTATGCGCCCTGGCGCATGCATACATGCGCATAAAGATTGCTTTTGCTCAGACATGAACTTCTGTCATTCTGGTGGAAGGAGTTGAAACCTGGGCTCTAACATTTGTCATGAAAGATCTCCCAAAAAGCCAACAAAGGGACAATAGTGATGATTTAGGTAAAGGTTCCCTTGCTCGAAAGCCAGTCGAATCCGACTCTAGGGTTGCGGTGCTCATCTCAGTTTCAAAGCCGAAGAGCCAGCACTGTCCGAAGACGTTTCCGTGGTCATGTGGCCGGCATGACTAAACACCAAGGCGCCCGGAACGCTGTTACCTTCCCACCAAAGTGGTCCCTATTTATCTACTTGCAATATCTTGCTTTCGAACTGCTAGGTTGGCAGGAGCTGGAACTAGAAATGGGAGCTCACTCCATCATGCGGCACACTCGGGTCTCGAACTGCTGAACTACCGACCTTCCACAGCCTGCAGTTCAGCGTCTTAACCACCGCAGCTCCTAGTGACGATTTACTAGGAACAAAAAAAAATACCAAAATTGTCCTTAGTAACTAGGGAAGTCAGAGCACGATTTACTAGGAACAAAAAAATACCAAAACTGTCCTTAGTAACTAGGGAAGTCAGAGCACAGAGACATGGGGAAATTCCTAGAGTATCACCACAGGGACCATTTTATAGCCATTTTTTCCTCCCCCTCCCCAATTTCTTGAGGGGGGATTGGAGCCAAGGACAGGCAAATGGCTGGCCTAGCCTTACATCACCTCCCTTCTAAATCAGGAAATGGAGGAGTAAATGGCAACAGGGCAGACGACCTTCAAAACGGCAGCAAAACCATGGCAGGAAGGGCACCTTCAACATACTAGACCAGCAACTCAAACGTTCTACTCACCGGAGTTATTGCCCCACAAACACCCACAGGCTCGTGTCTGGTGAAACAGACAAAATTCTCATCTGCAAAACATTTTTAGAAGAAAAATCAGTTATGTACCAGTCATGAATTTAATAGGATTCATAATACCAGGACAAAAAAAAGGTCGGGGGTTGTAGTTGACTAATCCTGCACTGACCAAAAGGGTTGGAGTAGGTGACCTCTAGGATACCTTCTAACTTTGTCAAGAAACTGGTCTCCTTTATGAGAGTTTTTCTGCATAAGAGTTAGCTTTCTTGACTATACAAGTTTGTTATCTGGTGGCTTGTTATCAGAATTGTTCCTTAGGCTGGCAGAAGTGATTAACTTGCAGTAGCTGAGAACTGTCATCTAAAGTGGTCGACAGCTTGCAATTTAGAGATCTATCCTGGTAACAGCTTTCTATCGGCTAAATGGTTAAGAACACCTATGTAGAATAGACTGCTTGAGACGACTCAGAGAAAGGAGAGACTGCCTCGGAGCTCTCTTCAACTTCCACCATGCTGCTGTGCTTCCAGAGACTCTGCTCATCGGGAACACCAGTTGAGATGCTAGAGCTACGCACCTGATAGGAAGAGTAGTGAGTAGAATAGCCATCTAGGTTTTTTGTTTTGGTTTGTATTCCTTGCTGAACTGTTTACATTCTTTGTTTTTGTAAAGTTTTGTATGTTTTTATACAAATTGGAGTGAGTTTACTGGCCAAACCCAGATAAGTATTTCCAGTGCCACATGTACCATCTACCAGAAAATTTATTCTCCCTTCCCCACCCACCCCTTCTCAGCCTGCTGTTGTCACACTCTGGGGCTAAGATTTGCAGAAGCCTCTATGCTTTGATTTTGAAAGGCTTGATTCCACAGTAGCTGAGTCATAATCCTCAGAATCCTGGCTTTTCTTTCTGCACTGAGAACTTCAGCCCCACAAGCCACAAAATCCTGGCGACGGGCCTGGCGGTTGGGATGGGAAAGGCAACGCTGGGATGACAAGTCCAGGATTGTCAACTGTGATCGTGGGGCAGGAACGGCAGGTGCCCAGGGCGGCCCCTCCCTCCTCTAGGATGACGGGGCTTGGGAGCACACCTTGGCCAAGCTGCTGCTGGAGTGTTTGAGGGCGCAGTACCAAGCCTGAGATGCTGGTGGGGAAAGCAGTGGCGACCCAGCAGGGGGTTGGGGGCGGAGGAGCTGGGAGCCACACAAAGGTGGAGCGTGTTGAAAAATGCCGCCTTGGGTTGTTCAGCAAGGACTCTTAATCCTCCTTGACTGACTATTCTGACTATTCTGGCTTAGTATATGCCAGCTCTTGAGATTGGGTTCCATTACAGCCATGCTTGAATAAGAATTATTCGAAACGCGGCATCAGCCGTCCGGATTACGCGTCGGCTTTTTATGGCTCAGAAAATTTGATGACTTACACTTCAATTTGGACTCTGATATTTGCTTCTGTTTTGGAGCAGACACATGGAAAGACTGTAGACTGTGCTTCTATTATGCTTTATTATTGCACCTTGGCCAATTGATTCTTATTATACTTGCTGTTATGCTTATAGGATTATTATATACTTGCTATATTGCTTGTGCATTTATTTTCAGTCAGTGGTGTGTTCTTTGCTGTGCCTTGGGTTGTTCAGCAAGGACTATCGCTACAGCCTGATCCCCAATGTGAATGGTAAAATCTGCAGCCACTAGCCCCGGCAGATCGCCTTCTTAGACTGTGAGAGCCCTGATCAAGAGGCAGAGTGGGGATCTGAACCCCGTTTTCCCATTACAGCACACTGGCCCACTCAGCATTTGACCCACTGAACCACGTCATCAAGTGATAAGTGCTCGAGTGCACGGGCGCTTGGGTTGTTCAGCAAGGACTATTGCTACAGCCTGATCCCCAATGTGAATGGTGAAATCTGCAGCCACTACCCCCGGCAGATCGCCTTCTTAGACTGTGAGAGCCCTGATCAAGAGGCAGAGTGGGGATCTGAACCCCGTTTTCCCACTACAGCACACTGGCCCACTCAGCATTTGACCCACTGAACCACGTCATCAAGTGATAAGTGCTCGAGTGCACGGGCTTTAGGATCCCGTGTTACAGACCCAGCCCCTTGAGAGCAGCTTTGCTAGAAGCAGATGGGGCTTCTAATTTAAGACAGACTTGCAAGAGGAAGGAGAGGTTCACCTACAGGTTCTACCTAAGCTTTCAGAAGGTTGTTTGCACCTTAACTCCAACTATGATTTCATTTATTTGATTTATACCCCACCCTCCCCGTCGAAGCGGGCTCAGGGCGGCTTACATAAAAGTTTTAAAACAAATAAAAACATAGCAAATATAAATATAAAACACAACATAAAGAGCTAGTATTGTGTAATACTGGTGCAGCGGTAGTAGCAGCCATTACAATGAGGTACATTCAGCATTTGAGGTCAGTTCATATTGGTGGCACACAGGCTGTCAGTGATGGGCACAGGGCACAGGGCCTTAAATTAGTTTGGTGCGGCTCCTTAGTTGAATGTCTGGTGGAAGAGCTCCATCTTGCAGGCCCTGCAGAACTGTAAAAGGTCCCGCGGGGCCCTGGTGTCTTCTGGGAGCTCATTCCACCAGTGCGGAGCCGCCACCGAAAAGGCCCTGGTCCTAGTCGAGGCCAGCCTAGCATCCTTGGGACCCGGGAGGGCCAGACGGTTTTGAGACCCCGAACACAGTGCTCTCTGGGGGACATAAGGGGAAAGGCGGTCCCTCAGGTATCTATCATCTATCTATCTATCTATCCGGCTTATATACCGCCCTGACCCCGAAGGGTCTCTGGGCGGTTTACATAGAAGTCTAAGTCTACTTTCCCCCTATCTATGGCCACATAGTACAGGGGCGGGGCTGCCTACCAGTACCCAGATGGTGGGGCTGCTGTTCTCCGGCTCGGCTCCTTCCAAGTATGTAGGCCCCTGACCATAAAGGGCTTTAAAGGTACGAACCAGCATCTTGAAGCGAATTCAGTACGCTATAGGCAGCCAGTGCAGCGCTTTCAGGGCAGGCGGGATGTGCTTCCGCATGGGGAGGCCCAACAACAGCCTGGCCGCAGCATTCTGCACCAGCTGCAGCTTCCGAATTTGGGGAAAGGGCAGCCCCATGTAGAGAGCATTACAGTAGTCTAATGGGAGTGCCAATTGGAAAGAACCCTCGTGAATTCAACAGGATGTCCCACCGACACATTTTCCTCCAAAAGCTCAGGATGGCTGACATGGTTTCCACCTCTGCTTTTCAGCCTTCCAACAACCCTGAGAGGTACTTTTGGTGCAGAGAGAAGAACTGACGCAGGGTCACCAGTGACAGCCTCACGGACCAGGGGAGATTTTAAACCTGGTCTTCCAAATCCTACTCGGACACTTTAACCACTGCACCGCACTGCTTCCAAGTGCCCCTCCCAGGAAAGCAGCCGTACAGTGCCACCCTCAGTGAAGTGACGCCCTTCCTCAGCCCACTGAAGTCAGCGGACTTACTGGGGTGTAACTCCATCTGTAGTGGCTCTGCTCATTCCCACTAATTCATTTTGGCAGATTTAAGTGTTATGTACGTGGACCACCTCCAGGGGTCCGCAGAAAGGCCAGAGCTTGGATCTGAGAACAAAAGAAACTTCGGATCCTGGATTCCGCAGCCCCAAACAAAAGCCACCTTGGCGGGACATTCAAACCCTCCAATGGGAGTGGGGGGTTGCTGGTGGATATGTATATAGTTGGCCCTGTGGGCCGTTAGAGTTATGTCTGTGTTAAGTACAATAAACGTGTGCTACAGTCTGTCGTCGTCCGAGTCCTCCATGCGGCGAACCCAGTACTTTTCATAAGGAACTCGCAAAGCACACCAGCTCTGACTCTGCTTACCCACGGGTATGGTTTTCCCCTGGATTTTGTCAGCCCACCCGGCGTAATATCGGAGTGTCTTGATGCATCCTTCCAAGTCGATGAAGAAAGCCTGGAGGAATGGTTTCCCGGTGTCCGTCGTTTCCAAGGTCTGGAGGGAAGAATACACACAAACAAAAGGGTTTTTTCCCCTAAAATGTTTCTCAAGATTACCCTGTTTCTGTCTTTATGCATCCTTCCAAGTCGATGAAGAAAGCCTGGAGGAATGGTTTCCCGGTGTCCATTGTTTCCAAGGTCTGGAGGGAAGAATACACACAAACAAAAGGGTTTTTTCCCCTAAAATGTTTCTCAAGATTACCCTGTTTCCCCGAAAATAAGACCTACCCAAAAAATAAGCCCTAGCATCCATGAAGACAGATTCGGGGGGGCAGCCGTCTGAAGCAGCAGAACAAAGTTGGAGTCCAGTGGCACCTTTACGACCCACAAAGTTTTATTTAAGGTGTAAGCTTCCGTGTGCAAGCACACTTGTTGAGAGAGCCAGTTTGGTGTAGTGGTTAAGAGTGGTGGACTCTAATCTGGAGATTCCCCACTCCTCCTCCACATGCAGCCAGCTAGGAGACCTTGGGTCAGTCACAGTTCTCTCAGAGCTGTTCTCTCAAGAGCCGTTCTCTCGGAGATCCCTTACCTCACAGGGTGTTGGTTGTGGGGAGGAGAAAGGAAGCCACTCTGAGACTTCAAATGAAAGGCGGGGTATAAATCCAATCTCTTCTTTGAACTTTTTTCATTTCATTTCTGAGAAAGGGAGCTTTGACTCTCTTTCTCAAAAAAGGTTCACCCCCCGAAAATCTCTGTTGGTCTCTCAGGTGTGACTGGACTCGAATCCGGCTCTTCCACTGCAGACCAACACAGCTACCCAATGGAAAACAAGCTTCTTTCAATGAATTTCACCCAATTCCCCCTCCTACTACAGTCTTCATCCCACAAAGCTTTTGTGCATGTAGGCCCAAGGATCTGTAGCATAGAGTTTTGGATGGCCAGAGAGGACCCGTCCTTTCTCTTTCACCAGCACAACAACTGGCTGGATCCCCCTAACGGTCTTGCAATTCTACTTAGGCTTCCACTGGTTACATGAAGTAACCTGTTACCTGAAGTAGAGGCATTTGGTCATACACTATGATCCTTCTGTCTGTTTGCTCAGATAACAAGTCCCAATGATTTCAATGGGATTTTCTTCCAAGTAAGTGCATTCAGCACTGCAGCTTTAGACACTGCACTGTTGTTGTACTGTGTCTAAGGACACCAACATTTCATGCCTCAGCGCTGCTGCGTGGCTATGTTCAAAATTAAGTTCTGTCTCCTCTAACACGCTCACAGGAGTGATTCTCATCGCTTTCCAAAATGTGTTTTGCTCGCCCTCTGCAAGCAGGCACGCTCGGCTTTTCTGTCAACCTCCCGTGTGGTTAACAGGTAAGACCTTCTGCTCTTATGAACAACAGCAGCAAAATTCCAATCTGCATTCACTCTTATTTCCTCCTATCAGACAGACTAATATCCTGTAAATTTCTACTCAGTCGCAGCAACAAAAAGACCACCTGACTGCAAAGGCACCAAGTCCAGGACCATCCCCAGTTTTGAAGTCTGACGGAAATCCACAGATTCTGCCACCATCTTGTGAGATCTGGAGCAGTGTTCCCTCTAAGCTGAGTTAGTGTGAGCTAGCTCACAGTTTTTTAGCCTCCGGCTCACATATTTTTGTATGAGCTCAGGAAGGAGGGCTCCAGAGCAAGCTAACTTATGCAGGAGCCAAATCGCTCACTCACAACTTTAATACCAGTAGCTCACAAAGTAGAATTTTTGCTCACAAGACCCCACAGCTTAGAGGGAACATTGATCTGGAGGCAGGCGTTTTCTCCCCTACCCTGATCTGGATGGGCCAGGACAGCCTGATATCATCAGATATCTGACGCTAAACAGGGTCAGCAATATAAACCTCCATGATGAGCCCTTCTTAGTTGTCTTTCTGCTAAACTGAAGCTCCCTGTCTGACCTTGGGCCAGCTATTCGCTTGACTCTGACAATCCACTTCTGCAAAGATTGAAGATCTTCTCTCCTTTTGCCTCCCCCCAACAGTCCCACCCAACCCTGGGAAAGGAACAGGACCCAAGTGGAGCAACAGTCACATAGTTCAGAGGGCTCCAACGAGGAGGAGGAAGCGGAGTGGAATTGCTCTCTTGTTCCTCTTCCATTAGTGCAGTTCCACAGACCAGAGAGAGAGGATGGACAATATTGCTCCCCTCCTCACTGCAGATCACTGACCCATTTGACTATTACTTAGGATTCTCGACCTCCAGGTGAGGCCTGAGGATCTCCCAGGATTACAACTGACCTTCAGGCTATAGAGATTAGGGTTGCCGGCCCCCAGGTGGGAGTTGGGGATCCCCCAATTATGTGGGATCCCGCCCCCAACAGCCACAACCCAGCATGACGTCCCTGATGTGATGACATCATGCGGAAGGACATCATCATGCCAGGGACATCGTACGGTGACGCTCTGGTATTTTGGGCAAAACTCTACGGTTACCATAGAGTTTTGTCCAAAATACCAGCGCGTTGCCACACAACGTCCCCAGCATGATGATGTCACTTCTGTGTGACATCATCATGTCGGAGACATTGCATGTGGCAATGTTCCCCC